TGGATTGAATGCCTTTTTCTATCTTTAAATAAAACCGTTATTTAAAGGATTAAACATATATCGCAAGGATTAAATTTTGCTACAAACAGCTTGCCATAGTCGGGATAGAGTTTAAGCCAGGGTTGTTTACGCCAGAGAATGTACACTGGCTAAACTTGGCAGCAAAGCAAATCATTCTAGACTCTACGCAAGATCAACGCTAGACCTGCGAAACCCGACCTCGGTGTGTGAAAACCCTCCATTACGCTTAAAACCTAAAAGCTCGATCAATTTAGGAACAGTGAAGCACGACACCTAGTACACAAATTACTTAGTCACTTCTTCGGCGCGCTCGCGCTCGATGCACGATCGAGTCTTAACAACGTGAAAGGGGAATAGTTTGTGAAATGTTTCAATTCTCATCGTACAATAAATTAACTTCACACTGGTGTGTGTAAAAACGCAAAGGATCCTCGCAGTCAAAACGGGATGACAAATACAAAACTAGATCACGCACCTAACAATATAGGGCGTCTCAGATGTAAAATACTTAGGCTTGGTAAACACGCAAAATGGCCATATTTACTGTCTTAAGAAAAAGTACAATACGTTTTAATTTTTTTTTTCGTATTTACCCGTACTTTCCGGGTAAATTAGACTGATGTATATATAATAAGGGAGCACTATCAAATCCCGTGGTCGGGTCGTAAAAATGTCGCTTAAACAATAATTTCAATTTGCTGTCCATTCAACAGTTCGCTTGATATCTTTGTCGTAATGTTCTAGGTACGTATCGTGTACAAGAGAGTTACTTCATAATTTTAACACTGTTTACAGTTGATCAGAAATACAGCAAAATCACCTTGATCGCGTGATTTACCTGTGTGTTCGTGACTTTCTTTTTTCAGTCGCTTTGGAAGGTATACTACATCTGATCCTGCATCTGATCCTGCATATGATAAAAGCCGCTTTCTTCTTGGCTCGACTACCAGCCGTTCGAGCTAGCGGTGGAACGAAGCACAGTTCAAAGTACAATCGTTTCAATGGCCTAAATATGGACTTCAGCATCAGACGTGTCCCCAAAATGCTTGTATTTTGAATTTTCCATCTCCGCTCTGACGCAAATTCCTTCCAAAACAACTAAAGAGACACGCAAGCACAGAAAAAACATTTTCATTTATCAGCTTGGGTTCCTTTTACCACGGCCTTAACTGTTACATACCGACTGCGAATTCGAACTACAAGAGTCATTTGCTGGTGGGAAACAATCGAAACTCTAAAACGTTCTGAACTAGTAATCTATGACAAGGAAAGAAAACTATACGAAATTTCTCTTGAGCTAGCAGCGCTTTCTGGCATATCACATTGAAGTGAACCGGAATTCAAACTAAAATTGGACAAATAGTGAATATGTTAAACTACAGTTCAGATGATTATGTGCTCACCTTAAGCCAAACGAATAATTAATGCCAGGAAAGCCAGGCAACCATACATCTTAGAAATAAGCTCCTACATCTCGTGATTTCTGTGTAAACTTGACCAATATCAATCTCGTTCCCAGAGCCTTCGTTACCCTTGTCCAGCGGAACGGGAAACCGTTCCGCTGGACAAAGGTAACGAAGGCTCTGGGAACGAGATTGGACCAATATGCGATTGCGATCATTCTCGACCCCAGAGCTCTTCTCGGCGCGATTAAGAAAGCGAAGGGTCTGGGGTCGAGAATGCGATTGTGATGTTCTGCTTGGATGACTCCGCGGAAATACGTTTTTTGGGGGGCGCGATACAGTATTTTACTGGACAGCGGTAAACCTTAAGGGCCCATTGACCGATTCATGCGCGCGCTCGCGCGCGTTGCTAAGAAGGTGAAATTTCACTTCCGGTTACTTACGTCAGCCTGAGCGCGGAAAATAAAACAACTCAAGAACTTGCAAATTCGCTTACATTTAAGATGTTTTTCTTTGTGTTTCACAAAATGCAAAGTAAAAAAGGTACAAGCAAAGGCAAAATAAGAGAAAGACAGAAAAACAAGAGCAATAGAAAGAGAAAAACTAACTCCATGTGGCTTTGTTTGATCTTACCGAAGTGCG